ATTCTTTTATGTAAGTTTCCTGTCTTGTGGCACGCCACTGGACCTCAAACAAGGAGCCTGATCTGTCTCTCTTTCCATTCAGGAATCAAGAGAGTCATTCTCTCAGATCTCCCTCTTATTCTCACTCACTGTCTCTCTCTCTCCTCATCTCTGCATCGCCAGCTTCTGGTTGTCTTTGTTTACTAGTAAAAAGGGGAGGGTGTCCTTGGGTCTTCCTCCCACACATAACCCCCCTCACATTTTTTAATCATCCCAATTTCAATGGCAGGGTTCAAGCCTCGGAGTCACTATGCCGAGACTCCCCCGCCCTCGCCCCCCTCCCCAGCCATTACACATGTTCCACAGCACGTACCTTGTCTCTCTTTGCTCTCAGTTTGGCTCAGGCAGAGCAAACAGTAGTTTGATCAAACAAGGCGACAAATGATTTAGAAAGATTTAGAGCCATGACAACAAACATGGTGTCTGTAGGCAATACAGAACTTGTCTATGTGTGTGCAAACACTTTATTATTGTGATGTTTACTAAAACAGAGGAAATAATAAGCGGTGATATCCAAACAGTTTTTATAGTTTTGAGAGCTGCAAAGCATCTATCACAAAGATTGTAAGCGATACAGAACTTGGCTGTGTGTGTGTGCAAACACTTAGAATTCTTATGTTTATTGAAACAGATGAAATAATATACAGTGATTGTGTCTTATATCTCTTGCAAACAGGTAAAGATATTAGAAGCAAACATAGACAGATAGATATTAGAAGTAAAACAGCAAAGAAGTTTGTGGTGATTATATTTTATAAACAAGAAAAAAAATTATTCTCATATCTGCGGAAGCGTTTAAACAAATACAGAGACTTTTATCGATTGTCCTTAGAATTGACAGGAGTTGGGTACATATGAGTACATATACTTGGAATCATATACATTGTACAACTTTTGCCCAAACAACCTCTATTCTGTCATCCTTTAACAAACAGACCTGCCTGACAGAGCACGTGAAATACATGTGCTGCACATAAAAAATGTACTCTTCTGTTGATACACTAAAAGGAAACTTATTTAAGACTGACTACTGAAACAGATATATAATTCTGCTAATTAATTTTTGGCTGTAAGTATTCTGACCAAAAAAGAAAAAAAAAGAAAGAAAAAAGCCACACAAGTAACCTTTGTGCCTAAGACAAAATCCATAGAGATTCTGTCTTGTGAATGCCCTCTAGAGATGTATAGATAAACTTTATTGATCCCTGAGGGTAAATTCAGTAGCTTTGAACTCTGTACACTCTTTGTCTTCTCAGTGGCCCAGTCTGTTTTCCTGGATAGACTCACTTTACCTTCCTGAATTACACTGTTCTGCCAATTACATTTAACACATTTGAAGTGTAATATTCCTGATGCTATTTGTGATCCTGGACCACACAACCAGTCATACATCATGTCATTTATACATCACATAAGTGCTAAATAAATAAGCTTTCCATTGATGTATGGTTTGATAGGATAGGACAATATTTGGCTGAAATACAACTATTTGAAAATCTGGAATCTGAAGGTGCAAAAAAAAATCTAAATATTGAGAAAAGTTGTACAAATGAGGTTCTTAGCAAATGCATGTTACTAATCAAAAATTACGTTTTGATATATTTATGATACAAAATTTACTAAATATCTTCATGGAACATGATATTTACTTAATATCCTAATGATTTTTGGCATAAGATAAAAATGTATCATTTTGACCCATATGTATTGTTGGCTATTGCTACAAATATACCCGTGCAAAACCCATGGTTTTGTGGTCCAGGGTCACATTTGTCCATTTACCAGAAAATATAAACTAGTACTGATTCTTTTTCTTCTTAATTTTAGATTACACTTGTAAGAGCCAACATCTGAAACAACTTCCAGAGATTCAAAATTTGATCTACAAATAAAGTTGACACTTGAACCGTTCACAAGTTCACAGTTTAAAGTTCACACACTGGGTTCCAAAAGGGGGTTTTCACAGGGATGCCAGAGAAGAACCATCTTTCTTAGTGTGAAGAGCATTTGAATAATCTAAAGAGCCTGTTTCCCACTATAAAGAACCTTGTGTGGAATTGAAATGTTCCATGAATGTTAAAGGTTCTTCATGAAACCAAAGATGCCGTTAAAGGACTTTTATGTAATCATGGAGAGTAATGAAAGTAAACAGATTATGCGCTTCACGGTGGTTCATGACGTTTAAGTTCCCTGGTAATTAATTAATATAAATAAGAAATAACACTCTAAACAAAATCTGTAAAAAAAAAAAAAAAAATGGGCAAGATATACACTCTAAAAATTGCTGGGTAAAATAGGGACAAACCCAGCAATTGGGTTGTTTTGACCCAGCGGTTCTCTGTTATTTTTCTCTGTATTTTGCAATCTCTGTATCTGCAATTTCTCTGTATTTTTCTTAAAGGTTTCACTAGTATTTTGCATTTACATAGCATTGCATTGTAGTTTAGAGTTAACACAAATGTCTTTAAAATTAATGGATGATGTCCCATGTAATGAGCTGCCAGTATTAGTTTTTTTTTACAGTGAAAGGTGAAGTTAATGTGGTGAAGGGATGCTGGAATATGCTGCTAATAATGGCTGATGTATACATCCTTATTGTGATTAACTTTAATTTATAACTTAGCTTATAACTTAATTTTATGGTTGCAAAATAACCTCTAAATGTTTTGTTGTTACCTGAAAGTGGCCCATTTATACTTGCCTTTTTATCATCTCTGAGGATAGTCCCCCCCCAACCTTGTGGGTAGTAACCCAACCGCTGGATCAAAACAACCCAATTGCTGGGTTTGTCCCTATTTTACCCAGCACTGGGTTGTATTTAACCCAGCATTTTTTAGAGTGTACATAATTTGAAGGAATTTCTCTGTATTTTTCTTAAAGGTTTCACTAGTATTTTGCATTTACATAGCATTGCATTGTAGTTTAGAGTTAACACAAATGTCTTTAAAATTAATGGATGATGTCCCATGTAATGAGCTGCCAGTATTAGTTTTTTTTTACAGTGAAAGGTGAAGTTAATGTGGTGAAGGGATGCTGGAATATGCTGCTAATAATGGCTGATGTATACATCCTTATTGTGATTAACTTTAATTTATAACTTAGCTTATAACTTAATTTTATGGTTGCAAAATAACCTCTAAATGTTTTGTTGTTACCTGAAAGTGGCCCATTTATACTTGCCTTTTTATCATCTCTGAGGATAGTCCCCCTGGAGCATCTTGGATGGTTGCAAAACCGAAGTTATTCATTTGACTTACCTCCTTGTTGGCTTGAGATCTCCAGGGTGCTATAGGTTACCACTGGCATATAACCTGTTATCTATTTCTATACACATATATTTAAAACAGAACCTAATTCTTACACATGTAAAGGTCTGCTGAGCTGAATGAATATGAAGAACTGCTTATCAGACCCTAAACACAAGCAAACAGGGATAAATAGTTATGAGTATTGTTTAATTTCCCTTGTTTGGAAGTAGCTATACAGTGGAAAATGCAGCTAAAAATCATTGTAAATTGCCTTGAGAGGAAGCCGTGCTAACCCTCTTTGGTGCGCTATTTACTTTATGAAAACAGATGTTATGTGAGTAACAATGAAAGACTAATCCCTTCCAAAACAGGAAGTTAATCTGATAATCAGTGTTGGGGGTAACTCATTACAAGTAATGCGAGTTACGTAATCAGATTACTTTCGTCAAGTAACTAGTAAAGTAACGCATTACTTTTTTAATTTACAAGAAAATATCTTCAAAAAGGTAGTGCCAGTTACTTTGTTTTCCCATTTATTGACTGACAGCTCTCCTGTCCCCATATTGGGAGAAATCGGGAGTACACACTCTAAAAAATGCTGGGTTGTTTCAACCCAATGTTGGGTCAAATATGGACTAACCCAACTGTTGGGTTAAATTTTGGTTACATTTTGGGTTGGGTTAGTCCATAGTTGGGTTGGTCCATATTTGACCCAACATTGGGTTGAAACAACCCAGCATTTTTTTAGAGTGCAGAGGCGTTGTGTGCGCTGTGTGAACCTGATGTTACTGTAGTTCTAGACTAAATGTGAATTAATTCATCCCACTCACAAAAAACAGATTTAGTATTCATCAAAGTGAAGTCAAACAGTGAAATGCAAACTCAGAATATGACGCAAACCTGCAATAATTAAATGTTAAATAACACAAATGTATCTAATCCCATTTTATTAACCAATGTCTTTGCTGCTGACCTTTGATGATCCAGGTCACCCGTACTAAAAACCAAAAATGACTTTAGAGAAACTAACAATTGTGCTTCATTGTTTTTTTTTTATTGCTGAAGAGTGTTTCTTCTCCTGCGTTCTACTGTACAGACGTGAATTTACTTTTCATTCAGCCTGAGGTTTATTCATTACACTTTTTGGTGTGAAAGAGCTTTTACATTAGCTATAAATAGAACTTCTTATATTAAAAACAATCAAGCCCTGCTTATATTTAAAAAGTAACGCGAAAGTAACGCAAAAGTAATATAACGCATTACTTTCCATAAAAAGTAACTAAGTAACGTAATTAGTTACTTTTTTAGGGAGTAACGCAATATTGTAATGCATTACTTTTAAAAGTAACTTTCCCCAACACTGCTGATAACTACCACGAGACTGTTATATTTGATTGAATATGTCATGGATTGAAAATGAATAAATAAGCATAACAGAACCGATGAGTGCTGACAATACATTAAAAAGCTTCGGTTGCAATTAATGGGCAATAGACGGAGCTATGGACGAAACGGAGAGGATCCTGTAAGAGCTAGATTCTAAGATGCAGATAACGAGTGAGTAAATGAAACGGCCTCAGTCTCTCTTTTTTTATCCCTCCTGAGGTTTCACATTTTTGAAGCCGTCTGATGGGGAGACAAGTCCATTCTCCACCTCTTTCTGAACATTAATGAGAGAGATCCACCTTTTCTGCTTAGTCGCGGTGCGCTTTCGTGGAGTGAGGGGGGATTTACATTCATAGAAAGCTTACCAATAGGGTGCCGCAAAGCCGAACGGGTCGCAGTACGTGCCGCGTGGGAAGGGACGGTGTCATTGTGTTTGATCGCCTGTGCGTCCCACAGAGTACTTGGAAGCAGCGCGCAGGGCTGGGTGCGTCTGTGCTCGAGGCTATCCATGTCTTTTGTGCCACCAGTTGAGCCGTCTTTGCGCGATATTTGTCATTTTTAATCATGTGTTTGAAAAATGCAAAGTTGTTTTGCGAATGTTTCACGGTTCAGGTAAGATACTTATGCTTTTATCAAACTGATTCTTACTGTCTTAACGTGCATTTAGCAACACAAGTGGAAAATTGCGTTTTTGTTTTGTCGAGTAAACTGCATAGTGAATGCAATGAATAGCAAGCAACACGTTAAACGTTTGGTGTTTATACTGCATACATTGAGAGGAGAGGCTAAATACTCAGTCACAAATGACACTAGTGAACATGCTATAAGTGCATGGGGGGTAGTGGGGCGGTTTATCACTGCAATTATAATATTATGCATTTAGAAATAATAATAATAAATTGATTTAAAACTGTGATTCCCATAGTGATCGGTCACATCACTTTTTTTAAAGGTATTATTGGCCAAGGAAGTTAGGCAGATTATTTTGAGCTCTGGACTTGCAATCTATTTGTGTTGGACTTTCCCATGCATGACCTTGCATCTTTATTAAACATGAGTTTTACATTACAGTGAGAGCTGACTCAGTGTAAAACTGCTGCATCATCAAAAGTTGACAATGGACTAGCAAATTCTGTTCTGAAAATGAGACAATGACTTTGCAGAAAAATCTCAAACGCAGATCATGGGATGATGATCACACATGGCTTCTCCAATGATTTTACCTGTAAGAAAACCAATGCAATGAGAAACATTGTAGATCAGGTTTAACTGTATGACTATTTTCCTGATTGAGCTCTTCTTTGTTGTGTTACTTTCTATCATTTCTATTGCCAAAATACACTTTAAAAATTTGAAATATCTTTCTTTTATTGATGTAGTGGATATGTGTTCAGTGTTCACACAGTCAATGTATGCAGGCAGAAATTGATATTTTTAGGTCAAGGTCCTTGGTTTTACCAAGGGTATGACTTGCTACTGTGACAGTGCTCTCTCTTGCAAGGCAAAAAATAGACTCTGGTTGTTGGCATTTAATGTTGGCACTTTCTCTGTTACCTTTAACATTGGCTAGGATCCTAACTTCAAGCCATTAAACTCTCAATGAAGTTGGCTGTTCCCTCTGCTGGAGACTAAGGCACGGGATATAGTCTCTCCCCTCTTCCTGTTGCTATCATTTACTCATTCAGAGGGATAAGGTCAAGTGTATGCAAGGGTATGTAGAGTAGAGTTAGCATGCTTCTCTGAATGAATTTTAGGTTGATTTTTTTAATCAACCTTCTGCTTCTTGACTGTTTGAATCTGAGACCCTGCAAGTCAATAATTATATATTTTAATTGCGGTTGCAATTCAATATTTCACTCTTTTTTTATAATTATGTTTCTATTATATTATGTATTATATGTTATAACCCAGTACAATAATGTACCATTCTAAAATTCGGGGGTCAGTTAGTTAAAAAGAAATCAAATAAAAACTTTTACATTGTTCCAGACAATTTCAGTTTCACAAAAATTGAGCGCATTTTGTTCAAAACATCCTGAGAAAATGTATCAAAATCTACACAATAATATTAAGCATATTTAACTGTGATGATAATAATAAGAAATGCACCAAATCAGCATATTAGACTGATTTCTGAAGGATCGTGTGACACTGGAGTAATGGCTGCTGAAAATTCAGCTTTGTCATCAAAGTATATTTAAAAATAAACCAGTTCTTTTCAATTGTAGTAATAAACACAAAATTGCAGTTTTTTTACTATAGTCTTGTTTGAATAACTGCAGTGTTGGTGAGCATTAGAGACTTCTTTCGAAAACATAAAAGTCTCACTGATCCCCAAACTTTTGAACAGTAACAAAAACAAATGTGTATATATGGGGAAGGCAACAGCATCCATGCATGGTGGTCTCTAAGTGACCTTGAAGTAGCTGGGTCACGATGAGAGATGGAGATGGGGGCTGCCTAAAATAAACAGAGCTCTATGCTCATATGTTTAAGGGAGGCCACACTTAATCAAATTACGTGACTGCGAAATGCTGGAGTCTTGGTCAGACGAAATATAGGTCTAGTTCCTGGAAAAGCTGTTAGAGATGGTCTGATTGTATGGTGGACGTGCACTCTGTAGCATTCAGACAGTCCTTGGATTTTCGACAGGTCATGGTGTCAACAGAACTTCTGTTGCCTTCGTAACAAGATGCCATTTTCTGCCAAGATCAGCAGTAAAGTGATTTGTCAAGCTGAGGCCAAAAGAGGAATCACATCCGCTCGTCTCAAAGTCTAAAGAAAATTCTGATCATTGATGTTCTACACTAAATTTTGACCCAACCTGGGGTTCTTCATAACATGTGCTCAAAATCAGAGCATCTCCAGAGGGTACATCTGCTTTGATAAGAAACCTATTGCGTCATAGCCAGCTAAAGCTGAAAGACTGCATTCAAAATTTTCCAATAAGACATAAATGCCAGAATATCATTTGACTAACTGTAGGAAGAATACTTATTCATGCGGTACTTATCTGCCCTAAATGTACACAAGTGTGGCTTAGGAAGCAATAGGAAGAGATTAGAATTACCATTTGTTGCCACTGCAAATATGTATTTTTATCGTTTCATTTTTGCTTTGACTCAGACCTTAGGTTTCACACAATCTGACACGCATGTGATAGAGGATTAGATGCTGCAGACCAGACATACACAAACACTCTTTCTGTGTAATCTGTCTCTTTATTCCAGATAGACAGAGGATTCAGCATTGTGTGGGTGTGTCTTTTTCTTCATGAATAGAATTTTCTGCTTTTTCGGGGCATAATGTCGGTGACATGATATTTGTTGGTTTTCAGTTCGTTTTTTACAGTCATTGATTTATTTTTCTTAGACAGAGAATGCAATCATATGGTTATTTACAGCATGCACATGATGGAAATCTTTCACTTTGACAAATTGAGACATCTTAATCTTGCAGAGCAACGAGGAACAGAGTGGCACTTCATATTTTAACTGGAAATCATAGAATCTAAAGACCAGGTCACACCGAAGATGATAACTGTAATTATAAAAGTTTAATACCGGCTCTAATTCTATAGTTCACACCACAATTGTAATGAGAAGAACAACATCATTGGAATCCCATTCAAATTAATTTTTAGCTGATGAATGATAAAATATTGAGCCAGTCATAATCCATCATGCAGCTTGAGCATTGAAAGCAACAGATATAACTGACATAACTGAAGCATGTCCATATAATAAGCAGAACAATATCGTGCACTGGTGTGGATGTTAATATAGTTACTGTTAAAGTTATATTTGTAGTTAGCATTTCTTGATGTGAACATGTCTAAAGACAAAGGGAAAATTGAGGGCTGCATGAACAGGTGCTGGACTACAGATGGGATGGTTGAGTTACAGTTTCTGTGTTCATCCATTGGCTAGGAAAGTTCAGGTGCCAGATGAGCAGAAGTACTTCATATTAATACAAAATCACTTCATATCAGGCACGTGCACACGTAGACATCAAAGGGGGCTTGAGCACCTGGCCTTTTTCTTCCTCGAGAGCAAGTGACCTTTTTTCTGGGGCGTTTAAAAAAAATGTTTTTATGAGTTTATGTATACTGTATGTGTGTGTGTTTCTGTTTGCACACAACTTTCCCTGTCAAACAAATAAAAAATCTAAATATCAAGTCAGGTCAGGAAATGTCGAGAGACTGCACATCACAAACATTTGTCTTGGTGTGGAGGTGAGTGGCGATGGACAAAAGACTAAGCTACCTGTGCCTCGAATTTACAGCTAATTATCCAAGACAAAAGGCAAATATAGTTCATTTGTCTCGCTAACGTACTGTGTAAGTTAGCTAAAGTTTAGCTAATGCAATAGGAAGTCTAGTAGGTTAGACTAGTGCGCATTCTTTCACTGCTTGATTCAGTTTATTAAAATGCATTTCGAATCACAAAATTCAAGATATGGGTGCAGAAATATATATATATATTTATATCATTTCATATAGTTATTCAGTATCACGCAAAGACTGACGTTTTTTCCACCAAAAAGCAGCATGATTACAAATGTGATATTGATTTAATACAGCAGTTCAATAAACAAGAATTTAATATTAAGACACTTACGTTTTAGACACAATATTGCCTGTTTTAGCTCTATTTCGCCAACAAATATAATTCCAATTTGGTCTCCGAGCAACATGACGCTGATTTTGTTCCTGAATGAATCAACCGTTTAAATGATTAGGTTCAATCACAATGACTCACTTATTAATTGTGACTTGCTGCCACCTGCTGGCAGTTTTAATTTCACATTTAAAGTATCTTTTCATTTTTTTTTTTAATAATTTCAAATATCAGTATTCAACGTTTTATGTTTAAAATATCAAAACAGTATGCATTTGTAACTGCAGGTTAAATCATTCATGTCCTGCATTAAACAGTGTGTAAATGCATCTAAATGCAGCTTCTGTGTATTCTCTGCATTGCAAACTGCCCATAAAAGGTAAAAATCCATTTAAAGTTATTGGAAAAGATTCATTTCTATCACTGCTGTGAACTGATCACACACAGAATATGCAGAATATCACAAACTTTAGGAGTCAGCTGTCCACGGTAGTCCTTAAGATACCAGCACAATAACACACTCAGCAAAATATCGTCTAATTATCTTTATCGATAAAATCCCAGAAAATGTTTTATTATATAATTATATACAATTATTTATATAAAGAAATATAATTGTATTTTTGGTAATATCGCACACCCTTAATATTTAACATTTTGTTTAGAATTTTTTTGTTTTTATAAATATGAGATTTTTTTCCACTTGAGCCCCTGCCCCTAAAATGTCTGTGCAGGTCCCTGCTTCATATATTTCTTTACCTAAACGTAGTAGTGCTCCACCTTGTGGCAAGTCTTGTTACCATGCGTTAATAGGGGTTTGGAGAGTGGGTTTTTGTTCAATCTGATAGCCTGTGGCTGTGGAAAGAAACTGTTCTGGAATCTGGTTGCCTTGGCTTGAGTGCTGCTAGTCTCTTGCTAGATAGTAGAAGTGTAAAAGTCTTTTTTTTAAATCAGTTTTAAACTGACCTTCATTTGTTCTATGCGTGCCAGGACTCTTTGCCTTACTGCTGATGGTGCTGGAGTGGACCCGTCCAGGCCTGTCCTCCCCATTACGCCCCATCTGTGACCTGCGCGTCCTCAACCATTTCATTAAGGAGGCTTGGGATGCAGAGGCTGCTATGGTGAGAGACATGCACATGATGGCTGAAGCTGTAATTTTATAAACGCGTTTCATTGTAATTCCAAGCAGTTCACTTTCTTGCGTTTCTGTGCAATTCTTTAAACTTACACATGCATCAGGCAAACATCTTTGCAATGCCAAGTGTGCAATCTGTCCTGTGCCCTCTCTAGCTGTTTTTGAACACTGGTGAACAACTCCTTACCCACTGAAAGAATTCCCACTGAATATCAAATGACTTTAAAATAAATTAAGCTGGATAAGTTGTCTTCTGTGGAGCTTCTTTATAGCTGAATTTCATAATTGATTAACTCTGAAACACTTACACTGTTATATTGAATCTAAATTCATTGAAAATAATGACACTCTTGCCTTCTGTATATCTGCTTATAGATCTGCTTAACTTTGCACAAGCTGAATCAACAATGAACTCACTTGAGCTGAATAATGACAATTCAATAGTTAAATTACACGCTAAAAAATGCTGGGTTAAATACAACCCAGTGCTGGGTAAAATAGGGACAAACCCAGCAATTGGGTTGTTTTGACGCAGCGGTTGGGTTAAATGTTTAACACAACCTTCTGGGGAGTAACCCAACCGCTGGGTCAAAACAGCCCAATTGCTGGGTTTGTCCCTATTTTACCCAGCACTGGGTTGTATTTAACTCAGCATTTTTTAGAGTGTATGTTTACTAATGAACTTTGCTAATACTGACACCGTCATTGAACTAATCTAAACTAAGCTGAATAATGGTGCTATCGTCGTTTTGGAGCTGCTTTACAGCTGACATTGTATTTGTTTCATAATTTAAGGGGTTTGCAACATTAATACTGTCATTTTCTCTTATGCTGCTTTGAAACAATTTCTGTTGTGTAAAGTGCTGGATTAATAAATGTGACTTGACTTGAATGTTTTTGCTATCGCAGAGAGCGTGTCAGGATGCTTGCAACATTGCAACAAACTTCACTGCTCCTCTGACAAGAGTTGATTTTGATGACTGGGAAGCAATGAATGTAAGTTGTCCTGCATGTTCCTGTTGTGAAGATTTTAATATAATATAGATGGATACCTTAACTTAATAAATAATGTGTCCTTTATGAATATATTCTGTATGTCACTTCAGATAGAGGAGCAAGCTCAGGAGGTCCAGTCAGGCTTACATGTGCTGAACGAGGCCATCAGCTCATTACAGGCATCTAATCAAACTGACGTGCTGCAGTCCCACATAGATGCCAGTATTAGCAACATTGCCAGCATCAGACAAGTGCTGCGAAGTCTCAGCATACCGGTGAGTTACACAGGCCACTTGGAGATAGAGAAGTCTCTTATGCTCACCAGGGCTGCAGTTATTTGATCGAAAATAGATTCAAAACAGTTATATTGTGAAATGTTATTACAATTGAAATAACTGTTTTCTATTTTAATATATTTTAAAATGTAATTTATTCCTGTGATGGTCATTACTCCTGACTTCAGTGTCACATGATCCTTCAGAAATCGTTCTAATATGCTGATTTGTAACATTTCTTATTATTATCAATGCTGAAAACACACGTGCTGCTTTTTAGGTTCTTTGTAACTTTTTGTGTTCTTGCCGAGTAAACTTTTGAACCACTGTGCTTTAGAATGGCATTATTCATTAGCATAATGGTTCAGAATATACACTTGGAACCAAATGTACAGATACATGCATGCATTTGGCAGACCCTTTTATCCAAAGCAAGTGTGCAGTGCATTTAAGCTGTACATTTCATTCAATATACATAAATTACATCAGCGTATCTGTTTTCTGAGAATCAAACCCTGTGACCGTCATGCTCTACCATGCAAGCTACAGGAACAGGAAAATGGATGTTATGCTAATCAAGTGTAGTGTACTACAAACTTATGTCAACATCAGGAAGAAAGCGTGTTCGTCACTTTACAGTGATTGTGTCATTGTGTCGTAGTGCTAGATAAAAACAAGCAGCGGCTATGGGACTACACTCGCAGCTGATCAGACAAGTGCTGCGAAGTCTCAGCATACCGGTGAGTTACACAGGCCACTTGGAGAAAGAGGTCTCTTATGCTCACCAGGGCTGCAGTTATTTGATCGAAAATAGATTCAAAACAGTTATATTGTGAAATGTTATTACAATTGAAACAACTGTTTTCTATTTTAATATATTTTAAAATGTAATTTATTCCTGTGATGGTCATTACTCCTGACTTCAGTGTCACATGATCCTTCAGAAATCGTTCTAATATGCTGATTTGTAACATTTCTTATTATTATCAATGCTGAAAACACACGTGCTGCTTTTTAGGTTCTTTGTAACTTTTTGTGTTCTTGCCGAGTAAACTTTTGAACCACTGTGCTTTAGAATGGCATTATTCATTAGCATAATGGTTCAGAATATACACTTGGAACCAAATGTACAGATACATGCATGCATTTGGCAGACCCTTTTATCCAAAGCAAGTGTGCAGTGCATTTAAGCTGTACATTTCATTCAATATACATAAATTACATCAGCGTATCTGTTTTCTGAGAATCAAACCCTGTGACCGTCATGCTCTACCATGCAAGCTACAGGAACAGGAAAATGGATGTTATGCTAATCAAGTGTAGTGTACTACAAACTTATGTCAACATCAGGAAGAAAGCGTGTTCGTCACTTTACAGTGATTGTGTCATTGTGTCGTAGTGCTAGATAAAAACAAGCAGCGGCTATGGGACTACACTCGCAGCTGAAAAAAATAGGGTGTTGATATGAAGGAATTTTCTGTATTGAACTGTGTTTTCCCATATTTTGAAATTAAGCATTGTATTGTGTTGTGTTAAAGGAATAGTTCACCCAAAAATGAAAATATGCTCAGGACATCCATGACACAGATGAGGTTGTTTCTTTATTGGAAGAGATTTGGAGAAATTTAGCATTACATCATTTGCTCACCATTGGATCCTCTGCAGTGAATGGGTGCCGTCAGAATGAGAGTCCAAACAGCTGATCAAATCCCATTCACTGCAGAGGATCTATTGGTGAGTAAGTGATGTAATGCTGAACTTCTCCAGTTCTGTTCCAATGAGGTCTGAGGTTGAGTACATTTTCAGCAAATTTTCATTTTTGTGCGAAGTAAAACGAAATGTAAAATGTTCCAGTAGAAAATTACCAGTAGTTTTGCGTTTTTCTACAGATTTTTTTTTTCTTCCAGTCAGTACAGAAAAGTTATTCAGAGTTTAAAAGCATGAATATGAGTGTCTAAAATGTGAAGCTGTTACACCGTATTAGTTACACTGCATTATTACTCTTTAACCCATTACCCTCTGTCTCTCAGGAATATGTACCTCCTACCAGTGGTGGAGAAGACAAGGAGATGCAGAAAGTATCCTCAATCTCAGAGCTGTTTCAGGTCCACATCAACTTCCTGCGGGGAAAAGTGCATCTTCTGCTTGCCAATGCACCTGTCTGCCATCAAGGTGTCAGCTGATAGACGATTTTGAGCAAGGGCCAAACTAATAGGAGCTCTTCATATCAGGAGGCAGGATAATGGGCTATTACAAAGGATATGTTGCCGAGGTTTGAATGACTGGGAGTTGTAGCACTTTGAAAGATTTACTCACAAAGGGAAAAGAAGACATCCCCCAGAATGCCAAGCGCCCCCTTTGGCTGTCTTCTCTCTCTGTGTTGAGCCTTTGCAGTCCCACCTGCGTTACCTGGCAAAAATCAACCAGACGCAATAATGAAACTTCAAGAAATCACTCCTCTTTCCCCATATGACTGTTGGCACTTGCCCAGCTCAACTAGGAAGGTTTATCTGGGACTTTTTAAGTGTTTTGTATTACTTATGAAATTGTCATTATTTATATAGATGATATTTCTTAGAGCTGGAATCACTTGCTTTTGCAGGTTCTTTTCTGAAGCTATTCAAGTGAAGACCTCTCTTGCTCCATTTACTGTGGCCTCAAGCACCTCCAAACATTGAACTGTTGATAGAGAGGTCTACTTATCAATATTAAATATGCACTGTAGGTTTTATATTCATTTCAGTGTTACGTTTATGTGTGTGTATGTACGTGTGTGACTTTTGTGAATGCTGCAGGGAATGTTTCAGGCGTCGGGGAGGAAGGTTGTAATGCTGAATTCTTACGGGTCAGTTGGGGTGAACAGGACGAGGGACGAGATTGCTGCTTGTGTCGGGGGAATTGGAAGCTTTCGTGAGAGCTGATGAGGCTCTGTGTTAGCTCATGTCTGAATTACGCGGTCTTGTGCAGATAACGTCACTGCCAGGAAAAATATTGATTAGTGTGTGTATGACGAACATCCTGGCCTGCTTCCACTTCACGCACGACGCTGCATATTTGCCTTTGGGAAATGATCGTAAGGTTGACATTTAGTTTCTCTTTTTCTGTATAACTTGTTTGTGTTTTTCATAAATCGCCTGTTTTTTTGTTTTTTTTTACATCTGTCAGTCTGTCTAGATGCAACAAAGTATGTTTGTAGATGTTTTTTCCTGTTGTGTGGTTCTTTCATCACAATGTCATCGGTATTCAAATACAAAGTATTATTTTTAGCTAAAAAAAAAAAAAAAAAGAACTGTAAAAACAAGAAGAGAGGAGTTTTTTCTTTTTGTCTTATGAAGCATCTCTGCTGAGAATGTCAATACACTGCTCCCAATTCTGTAAATACATGTGATTCCAATGTGAATTGTTTTGATGTGAAAACAAGTACTTTTTTAGCTATGCGTGAGGGAGAGAGAACTAGGCATACATTATGCCTAAGACATAACAGGATTATAAAAAGCTCTGCATTTTTGTCATGTTTTCACTGAAGGAATTTAGTCACACCACTAAATGTTTTTAAAAACCCCTTTGTGTCATTCCTTTTCACCCTACTTGCCACCAAATTATCTGCTCTTTTAGTTTGGTCAAGAATGGCTGGACAAACATGTTGATTCAGTTTGCTTATTGAAAGAAAATCTGATCTATTACTGATCAGCCCTCAGATGCCAACCCTCTGACAAATCAGCTGCATCGTTCAGAAATATTTAAGCTTAGCTGTTCATCCCAACCTTGCTAACATGCCATCTCCATTCCCACTCAGAAAGTAATACATATTACCGTTTTTATGGCATCTGTGCCTCATATTATAGCCACACACTTGGTGAAAGCAGACACTTGTCAAATCTGTCATTATTACCCAATAGCATTTTACAGAGGACAGATATAGGTATTATTCTTAAGTTATAACATTAATGTTAAATAATGTTGTTACTACTGTTATTACCATTAAATAATATATGTAAAATAAATTATCCTTAAAATAGACTCTAACTATAAACAGAAACAGGAAAACAGCAGGTAGGTCATTTTACTTTCCATTTAACTAAGCTTTAAAACAACTGATGCATGATCTTTTGGTTACAATTTCACTATGCATGAGAAAACGAATACATAAACTGATTTCTGTTTCTGAAAGGGGGGGGGGACATATGATATGGCACATTTCCTTTCTACATTCTTTCTCAAATGAAGCATTCAAGAACACCACAGCAATTAATTAAATAAGCTTCAGGCTGAACCAGAACAGAAGTCATACAAAATAAAACAGACGACGTGACATGTGGCCAAGTATGGTGACCCATACTCGGAATTAGTGCTCTGCATTTATCCCATCCAAAGTGCACACACACAGCAGTGAACACACACACACCGTGACCATTTATGCTGCGGCGCCCGGGGAGCAGTTGGGGGTTCGGTGCCTTGCTCAAGGGCACCTCAGTCGTGGTATTGAAGGTGGAAGAGAGCGCTGTACATTCACTCCCCCCACCTACAATCCCTGCCGGTTCAAGACTCGAACCCACAACCTTTGGGTTATGAGTCCGATTCTCTAACCATTAGGCCAAGACATCACCTTTAACCCACTCACACACACACACCACGAACATTACAGTAATGTTTATGAAGTCTTTGAAGTTGCCATTTGTTGTGTTAATACTGATACTGGCTCTACGCGTTGGGATGAAACACCTTGATGTGTATTGCGGAGTTATTACGGGTGCGTGTCAGCGGCTCCCCCGCCTCATCCGGGTCCTCGGGCTCCAGATCATCTATGAGCTCTACAGTGGATGTGTTGGCCGCCAGCTGCAGCGCACCCTGGCTGGACATCTGGAGCTGCAGGGCGATGTTAATGGCCCGGTTGATGGCCAGCCCCAGACCGTGGATGCAGATTTCCCTATGAGCGTCCACAAGTTTCTGACACCTCGCCAGCTGGGCCTTGAAGTCTGTTTTCATGTTGACGTAGACGTCGTTCCGTCGTTTGGGCAGTTTGCGTGGCAGATGCTTGCGGAGGGTATACTCCAGCGGGTCCATCTCAAGCGTTGAGCCCTCTGGGGTGGGCAGCACCATCGGGTTGTGGGGTACAGAAGCGGACACCAGGCTGCGTGGCTCGGCCATGTCAAAACACGGGAAAAGCACTGTACCAAAAGAACAAGACATCCGTTAATCAACGAGTGAAAATGACACACAGCTGACCTGTGAACACTCACAAATGTTCTAAACTGCCACTAAGGTTAGCAGCTGAATATATAAACATATTCATTATTATTTTTAGTTTTTTTATTGCAATTGAAAGAATAACAACAGTTATGAAGTAACATGGGGCTAACGGACATCACATGAAGTTAGACAAGCTGCACAAATTAACAAGATATACCAATGAGAAAAAAAGAAAGGAAAGTCTTTTAAAGATAGCTTACAATAGACTGAAGAAGCCTTTGAGTTCAAAGGATTTGACATATTCTTAAAAGAAGTAAAAAGGGACTTTATATCAGATGAAAACATTCTAAAGTTAGGGTTGCAATGGATTGTTTCTTGTTTTATGAAGGTGAAATTTACCCAGAAGACAAAGCAATAAAACAATGTGTTCCAGATTAATGTCCTTGGAATGAAAATCCGACAGATTCTGTTATTTCTATCATTTTGTTACAGCAGGAAAAAATTAACATGGTAACTTCTGACCAAAAAGACTTGGTGAATAGATTCTTCATCAGTATTACAAAATGAACACATTGCTTTATATCAGATGAAAACATTCTAAAGTTAGGGTTGCAATGGATTGCTTCTTGTTTTATGAAGGTGAAATGTACCCAGAAGACAAAGCAATAAAACAATGTGTTCCAGATTAATGTCCTTGGAATGAAAATCCGACAGATTCTGTTATTTCTATCATTTTGTTACAGCAGGAAAAAATTAACATGGTAACTTCTGACCAAAAAGACTTGGTGAATAGATTCTTCATCAGTATTACAAAATGAACACATTGAGGAAATATTCTCAGAAAATCTGCTCAAAAATAAATTACACGGGTAGTATCGATGAGCAATTTTGAAATGGAGTTCTTTAATTTTACTTGGGATAAATAGCCTGTGAGGAAAGGTCCATAAGTTTTTTTAATTCAGAGTTCGGATATCAAATCCTCCATTTAGATTTAGGGGCATCCTGGAGTTGAAGAAAGAGCATTTCTAATAAAAAAAAGTTATTGCATTTTTTTATCTAATACATAAACACCATTAAACGCAAGTGTGGGAAAATGGTTGTTTATATAACATAAACATAACATAAATGCGCTTTAAACAAAGTTTTTAAACTGCCAGGGATACTTTTAGTCGCCTTATTAAAATCTCTTAGTGAGATTGATGCACCTTTCAAAAACACAAAATCAGAAAAGGAAAGAAGGTCCCCGTCATATTCATTATTTGTTTACATATCAATTAGTACAAAATAGCTCAATTAACGCCGACTGATTCATAAGTCTTTTGGTTCACTTAAAAGAACCGACTCGTATGAGTCAATCGGTTCCGGAATCGGACTAACGTTACACTGTATGTTATTGATTCATTCAAAAGAACCGACTCATATAAGTCAATCGGTTCCGGAAACGGACTAACGTTACACTGTATGTTATTGATTCATTCAAAAGAACCGACTCATGCGAGTCATCGTTCATGAATCGTTTTGTACACCGGTCGATCGCGCAGTTTGTTTCACTGTACATCGTTGCGGCGCTGCTAAACAGAAATAAATGAAACGCTGCTACTGTTTTCCGTTCCGTAAACATTCGGTTCTGGCATTTTTTTTAACGGACCATCAGTTCCCTAGAAATAACTAAGTCATTATCGATATGCTACGTTCATTTATATAATATTTTAGTTTAGTACCTTGAATTAGATGAGCTTGTTTTATCGGCCACACTCTCTCTAGCTGGTAAATAAATGAATCTGCGTATTTGCAGGTTAGGCTTCTCTCCTCACGTACCGGAAGTCCTCTCACTTCCACAGGAACTGGTACCTAACTCTGTTTGATTACATAATACACGCTGCTCTATTCTTGGATGAAACATATATATATTTTTTTTATTTCGTATATTATATAATTATAATTTAATCACAATCAAATAAACTGTGTCTCAGTGCCAATTTGAAAGTGAGCATTGCTAAAATTGCGATTATTGCGTCGTCTTTTATTTTGAAATTTGGTTTAGGGTCTTTTATTTTGAAATTCAGTTTAGCGGCGTTGTGGAGAGTACAGTCTACAGTCACTCCGCGCTGGATTACTATAAGTGAACTGAACTTTATGAAATATCTGTTTAATTGACTGTTTGTCTAGTTTCATTTAAGCCATGTCAGACACATGGAGTCACATCCAGGCGCACAAAAAGCAGCTGGATTCCCTGCGAGAGAGGCTGCAGAGGAGAAGAAAAGACACAACTCAACTGGGCATCGGTGTGTTGATAAACTACATGCTGTGAGATCTGCAAAACTGTTAACTGTACCATAAATAGCATTTGATTTATTTGTTAAAAAATACTACCTGGATATGTAATGAGAGTCACCATTACACACATTCAGCTTTATTAGCTTGGTATCAGATGCTGAATATAGAGACCATTTTTTATTTCGTATATTATATAATTATAATTTAATCACAATCAAATAAACTGTGTCTCAGTGCCAATTTGAAAGTGAGCATTGCTAAAATTGCGATTATTGCGTCGTCAGGGTC